TACCCCCCCTCCTAAGAAGATAGATGAAGAAAATGAGGCCAACTTGCTGGCAGTGCTTACAGAGACCCTGGACAGCATCCCGGTGGATGAGGACGGATTGCCTTCGTTTGAGGCCCTGGCAGATGGGGACGTGACCAATGCCAGTGACCAGAGCTGTCCCTCCTCTCCCGACGGCTCACCGCGCACCCCAGAGCCCGAGGAGCCTTCCCTGGTAACAGCTACAGCTCTTCCTTATCACGATTCTCACACCAGCACCATCCTACAGTTCAGACATGAGTTATACCCGAGACCTGACCTCCGGTCTCGCACGTACTCACACGTACGCTGTGTTTTTGGCAGTCCAAAGCACACATCAGATAAGACTTCTCAACAAGACCAGAACCCCAGTAGCGGTCATTTGTCTGTGTGACGTTTGCCTGACTTCACACTCCGTATTTGCCACAATGTGTTCATTTATGTGCAGTCGCAGCAAGCAGGGATGCAGATGCAAGTAGGAGGGAAGTGAGTGGAAAGGATCAGTGTGTTTGCTGCTCAGCGCTAATTACATAACAGCGCTATCGTGGCGCCAGTTCAGTGATACGAACGCTGTGGTTGGGGACAACTGCGGCTGACACAGTGCCACGGGCCCTGAAATCAAGCCGGGACGTAATGAAAGTCGGGGGGGAAAAGGAAATCTATCTCATCTCGTCTGCTCTCAGCAGGGTCTCGGCTAATCCCCCTGTGCCGGAGTCATCTCTTTTGGCAAACACCCCCACCACCACAAATAAGAACTCGGCCTACCTTGGTGCTGTTATTTTTACACACGTCCGTGCCATCTGGGTTTTTCTCTAGCTTATAGGCTTTGACCTAAAACGTTATGTTATGTGACATTGTAGTCCATTTTATTCCATGCTGGTCCCTTCCAAATGACCTTTAGCCAAATGCCTGAGCGTGTTTATTCAATCACATTAGAGAAGCCTAGTGGTGTGTACACAAAAACACCTGCACTGGAAGAAAAAAGAGGCTTGACTTTTCATGTCACGTAGCATGCACTTAAGTTAAAAAAAAGAAGTCTTTTTTTTTAACTGCAGAGTTAAAAAATGAAAGCAACTGAAAGGCTGCCATTGTAAATCTTTTACCCTACAATGTAAAGTGCTCTGAAATGACTGCCGCCGTAAACTGGCACTGTTTAAATAAAGTCGAATTGAATTAAAAGGTGCCATTTGCATAACCCACGCTGACTCCCCGCTCCTCCTCCTCCTCCTTCTTCCTCTCCCACCTTTCTGGTTCTGTTTGGGTCCATTCGCAGCTGAAGAAACTCCTTCTGGCACCCGCAAACTCCCAGCTCAGCTATAATCAATACACAGGTGGCAAGGCACAGAACCATGCAGCCAGCAGCAACCACCGGATCAGACCACCACCTGCCGTCGTCAAGGTAGGGAGTCACACACACACACACACGCACACGCTGTTGATTTCACTCCCGTGCACACACTTTTTTTCCTGTTTGTGTTTGTTTATCTCTCTCACTCTTTTCTTGCTCTCTCTCGCTACTTGCTCACCCTCCCTCCTTCTCACTTTTTTTTTTTTTTTTTTTTTTTGCCTGTTTTGGTGGCCGCCTTTAGAAGATGTTAGACTTCTGCTCTAGCAGTCTACTGTCCCAGGGGGCCATCTCGTAATGAAAACAGGCTGATTGCTGTTGGGCTTTCCAGGCGAGGCGTCGGCACCGTTGTCTCATTAGCTCCACCACTTATCCGCCTTGGTATGGTGCCTGTTGGAGGACGGGAAAAAAAAAGAAAGAAAAACAAAAAAAAAGCAGCGACAGGCGCTCTTGCGGCGAGATTGATGCCTTGAGACGACAAGATCAAAATATCAGACTTGATGTACTCATTAGATGGCTCTGAAGAGAGTGTTTTTCTATAGGGGTGGGTTTGATTAAGATTTAATTTTAGTCAGCGTAAGTATCACAGGTTTTGTGAATTCTGCTAAATGAAAAATTGGGATTATTTCACTCTCGCCCGTTTGGATTTCACACCAGAATGTGGCATACTGTGCATTCAGTGTCATATCAGCATATAGCACTTAATTGTGTTCTCTTGCTCGGTAGGACTGTCTGAAATCTGCATTTGTTATGCTTTAACGCATGCACAAAATCATCACAATGTAAAGAACATCTGTATCTCACTGTGTGGTGAATGCGGCGCAGACATATGTTAGCTCTGCGTACCGTGTTTGCACATGCAGTGCGTCAACCCTTCTTCACAGAGTCTATTTTCATACTGTGTCTTTGAGTCATCCGTTTCTGGAGCAGAGCGAATGAGGACTCCCGGAGGACGTGGTGTGCGTACAGAGTGGCGCGGTGGCGCTCGGGGGGCCACGCAATTAAAATGATGGGCGGACAGCACTCCCACCATCGCCTCCTAGACAGTTGGGCAACCACTGCGCTCGAGCTGTTTGAGTCACACTCTTAGGCTCTCCATGCCTCCGTCTCTTTTCTACTTTTGTTTTTGTTCCAAATAAAATACTTAACATTTCTCGCAACTAGATCAGCTGCACTGTGCAAAACTTTTTATTGGAGCTAACTAAGTCATTCGCTCTCTCTCTGCTCGTTCCTCCGCAGACGGAGAGCCCCTGGAACGGCAAAGCAAGAGGGGGCTCCAGCCAACAGAACCGCCCGGTGAGGCGGCCCTGCACCGAGCTGCTGAAATACCTAACCGCCACCGATGACATCCTCCTCCACGCCAAAGCCAGCGAAGCCAAGAGCGCCTGGGGGGGTGCTAGTAGCAGGGACAAGAGTGGCATGGGTCTCGGTGCCTCTTCTTCCTCCTCTTCACCGTCCTCGTCATCCACTTCCTCGTTCTCCTCCCTCTCCTCCACCTCTTCCTCCTCTTCCTCTACCACCTCCAAGAAGAAGCCGGCTGTGCCGTCTCATCAACAGCAGCAGCAGCAGCCGCCACAGCAGCATCACCAGCGAGGTGAGAGCCGGGCTGGAGGCGAGTGTAGTATGGCTGGTCTTGGGGCTGGGAAGTGGCAGCGTTGCGCTCACGATGACGGGTTTGAGGAGTCGGAGGGTGCTACTATCCCTGTTGGCCACAGAAGCTCCGCCTGCGGCCATGCCCGCCCCAAACTGGAGCACGGGCCGCCCAGTGAAGAAGGAAGGCCGCCAGGCGATGCGGGCCGCCTGGCCGCCGCTAGGTTTATTAGGTATATGCACTCTTATTCCCTCCCTCCCCGAGAGGCGAGTCACAGCTGTGAGCATTGCCGAGAGGCTGCAGGCGCCACTCAGGCTAGTGAGGGCTTTGGCAGGCAAGGCCGTAGCAACAGTAACAGTGCCAGCCGTGCGCCACATAGGCACATCACAGTGACTATAAAGAAAAGAGACGAGAAGCCGGGGCACCCGTTACTTAGCCAGCTGCTCACCTCCAAAAACAGGCCCGCTCAGTATCACGCCCGTGTCCTCCCGCATACTCCCATTACCCCTTTACGGAGCAGTAAGAGCAAATTAGCAGCGAGGTCTGAGAGTCCAGCCCGGGCTTTTTCTAAGGTTAAGGAGGAGAAGGAGCTCAGAGGGACCACTGATGATAGAAACAAGGGAGTAAATCAAGCTGAGGAGCCTGATTCAAGGCCCCTGTTGTCACCTCTCACCTTTGACCTAGAGAGCTGGGTTAACCAGCCAGATCCAGGGCTAGACATGGCCTTTGGACTAGATCTGGGGTGGCCAAGCCAGGGGGGCTACAGGGAGGATGTTAACCATGATGATGATGATGATGATGATAATGATGGTGTTGTTGTTGATGGTGATGATGATGATGATGACCATGTCATGGGCAGCCCCGCAGCGGTGCTCTCACAGGGCCCACCAAGCCCACTCCTCCCAGATACTAGCATTGCAGAGCCCACCCCTCCCTGCATCATACAAGGGCAAGGGCACCCACACATGCAGGCACTCAGCGAGCACCCCGATGACCAGGGCCACCCATTGTTAGGTAATCATGAACTGCATCCCCCCCACTGGCCTTATCTCTGCTCTCTTTTCTCCCTCTCTTGCTCTAACCACTTCCCGGTTTGATTTCACGACTAACCCCCTGTCCTAATTTGAATCTAACAAGTCATTGTTAGGGCATCAACAACAATGACAGCAAAACAGCCTGCTCGCCAATGCTTTTTGCTAGTCGCTGAGGCACTCTTTTCAATTTTCAAAAATGAGTGGGGTTTTTTTTTTTGTCTTTGAAAAAACAAAGGAGTGGGTGGGAAAAAGGGGTGAGCCATGTCTTGCTACTGTACGTCTTGTATTCGCAAAGCCAATCCTTGAATCATCTTTGGCTGATTGAGCTGAGTGTGCTGAATATGTACATTTAGACTCAGAGCCCCGGTGCTGCTCTCTAGAATCGCGCTACTAAAGCCACACTTCTCTTAGCTGGAGCACAAGCCGGCCAGAGCCTCGGGCAACTGCACAAGCTTCCTTGACTCTCCTTTCTTCCTTCTTTTTGTTTTTCTTTTCTCCCCCCTCCTCTGCTGTTGGTGCATGCGATTATGACTTTATTGTCTAGGGAGGGGCTCACCCACAGTCATGTGTCTTGTTTGTGGCATCGTCTCTCTCTCTGTATGTCTTTTTCCATTTCGATCTGTTTGTTGTCTTGAGCGTGGTGTCTGTGTCCAGACACCTGTGAAACACGTACCATCACTTCATCCTGCCTCACAGAGTGAACAGTCTATCCTAAGAGAATAAATTTTTTAAATGGGGTCAATCTAAAAAAAGATATACTCTGTACAATAGTGTCCATAGTAAGGCTTTCTAACTAGAAATGGGTGTTTTTTTTATTTCTTTTTTCGTAGTAATATTTGCATTTGTTGAGCCAATTTGGGATTAATTGTTGCAGACTTGTGGATCTGTTCTCTTCTACCATGAGTGTTATACTTAGATCAATAATTACCCATGCTCCTTTGTGTTCTGCAGCCAAACCAACCACCTTGCCACTTCCTTTGACCCCAGAGTCTCCAAAGTAAGTGTGAGAAGTTTTTCCACATTATTCTAGGCAAAAAAAAAAGGCAACATGGAAACTACAGAAAAAAGACGAAATCAAAGAAAGCTATATAGACTAGAATCCAACCTGAGGCATTTTTGTGATTCATTTCCATTTCTTTAGGTCATTACATCTTTCTTTAGTCTTACTTTCACCTGTGAAGTGAGACGTTCTACGTTTTATTTTGTCTTCCAGTGACTACAAGGGATCACCGTTTGAGAACAAAACCACTGAACGCACATTAAGTGTGGAGATTGCTGGAACCCCAGGTAAGCAGACTTTTTCTGACAATGTAAATTCTTTTTAAATGACCGGCCGAGTACTTATAGCTGTGGTAGGAAGTAATGGGTTCATTCCTTTAGGGAGCCTTGATAGTTCCATCACAGTTCAGAGTTCAAGGTGAAGACATAAGGAGATCAATTTTATGCGCCTAAGTATTGATTAGGTCTTCCAATCTCCTCGGCTTTTATTAGCAAACTCCTCCCATTCCCCTACCACGCCCACTGGTTTGTTAGTGAAGAGTTAATATACCTTTCCTTCCACCAGATCCTAATGCTGTCTGACTGACAGCTCACTCAAGCCCTCTCCAGGCGCAGAATACACAACTATGCTGGCTTCATCAATCTGTTCAAGTAATGGCATCCTGTCATTTAGACGTAGGTCACGGCTGCATTAAAGCTCATTCAGACATAACCGCGACAGTGACAAAGAAGTGCAAAGGAATCGTTGCACGTATGGTCCGCATGGACACGAGTGAAGTATAGTCAGGTGTTTGAAAACTTTGCAAAGAGCAGGGTCTTCGCGCGCTGCACGGTGCTGCTGAGAAAGCTGCCCCTGCCCCAATCACGCGGGCTCAGCGAGCGAGAGCTGTTGTTACGCACGCGTTAATTTTATTCCTGTGCTGTTCAACTGCTTCTCCTTAACAGTCATGTTTTACTGAGCTGAGCAATTCACGGGGGGCGTTTTGCAGTCGTGAAAGCGACGCGTGAATGTGTATGAGGTCCAAACTTGAAAGATCACCTTTGCAGTAATGGGACCAGGAGGCTCATTCATACATGAAACCAACATGTTCATACGTGGTCAAATTAAATGGAAAGCAGTGTATGAGTAGAAGGAGCTTTAGCCTACACGTGGCAGGGAAAATTCAGATGGCTGCTGTTTTCATTGGGTTTTGCTGTGTAATTGAGTTTTGCCTGTATGATCAGCGCCTTCCTTACTCAAATTCCCTGTGGACACAGGCAACTGCGTAGATGTTGCCAGACTGGGGATATTTCTTCATTATCAGTCACTTCATCCTTTCGTGTTATTGAGTTATGCTCAGCTAAATTAGAAAAAAAAACTATATGTAATTGGTATTTAAAAGACAAAAGGGATGAAAATGTGAGGGGAAAAGCTGCAGTATTGCAGGTCATCCATTTCTTTCGCTCTTTATGTCAACGATGTTAGTAATTACCACGTTTTCTTACAATTAATTACCTAAGGTCAATAAAACAAAATAACAGCCCTGGCCCTTTTGTCTATTTATTTACTAGCAAGGGAAATGGTCCTCATAATACCCCCTGTCTTCTACTTAGCTCCTGTGGGGGTGGAAAAGCAAACCTCCAGAGGTATCCCCCTGTCCTTCTCAGTTTGGCTGAAGTGCTGTTTAACCCATTTATGTAGATAAGCTTTCAGGGTCAGAGGGGGGATGTCTGTTGAGACCTAAAGATTGGAAAGAGCAATGCCCCTTAATCTCTGTGGCAATCAAACGCAGTTAATATTTCTTCCGCTTTTACTGCACGTGGGCGAGTCTGTTGACCTGTGGCCAAATCTAAGCCGTCTGTTCTTTTCCAACACATCCATTTTATAAGCACGGTCAAATAAAGCCTTTCACCTGACTTAAACCCGTTCTGTGGAAAATGTAGGATTGAATATTAGCAGGAAAGTCATTAGTCCAGAAAGCTCTGGGCTGCTGAGCGCCTTTCTCACTTAGAGATTAGCTTTTGAGTCTCAGCGCTGCACGAGCCAGATGGATATAGATCCCAGTAAGCAGAGTTGTCAGCTTTTAGGTTCGGACTTACACGTTCCTTCGTAGATTTAGAGAATCATCCCACTACAATAGAGATAAAGGGTGGTGTTACTGATAATCAAATGGCAGTCTACCAGGTGGGCGGTCCCACCTTCTACTCCCAGGGCAAGTCGACCATGCGCTGGTGGAATTTTCCTTGACTTGCTTCCAGTAGTTTATTACTTTATGCCTTTTTGATGAGTTGTAGTAGTAGTAACCACTCATTAAAAGAAAGATAAATTTAACTGTGAGGACTTGTACACTTTGTACCTACTCGAATGATGATTAGTAGTTATTAATAGCGAGGTTTGGACTGTTTGACTGCATGTTTTCTTGACCCTTCTCGGAGAGGTACGGTGAGCACCCCCCCGGGATCTGACTGTTCAGACCTAATCTCTATCAAGCTAATAGATTTACCCTGTACTGCTGTGTTGTCTTTAATTACTGTATCTCATGACACAGAGGTGGTCTGTGTGTTGTTATTTGCCTAGCTTACTGCCGGATCAACTCTTTAAGCCTGGAGTTGTTGTTCGCTCCGAGGTCCCTTCACAATTTGCAGCTGGACGAGAAAATAGAACTATAAAAAAAAAACCCAAAAATCCCAAAACCTTGCCTCTTTCTGCCTCGATCGCTGCGCCACTGCTTTCTCTCCGGGCCCCGCATGATTGGTGCTCGCACCTGCAGATCATCCATCACTAGCAAGTTTGACTGAGAGGCACATTTTTATCTAATTCTGATTTATTTCCGCCTATCGCTAATGGCTCCTAGTTTATGACCCCGTGCGTACGTTGTTTTGGACAGATGGCGTTTGATTGGTGAAACAGAAGTTCTTCAGGCATTGTGTAGCATCCACTCTCCCTCTCTGCGTCTCTCCTTTCTCATTTCCAAAGCTCATTTAATTGGCATAATGCAAATATATGTCTGTCTCGCTATCATGACTGGGGAAGAGGATTGGGGGGAAGTGAGCGAGAGAACGAGACAGAGGAGAGCGAGAAGGGAGAAGGAAAGGAAGGGAGGAAGGGGAGTGGGCGCTTGCAGTCCTACTTATAGGCACATCCAGATAATAAGTAGGATGATAAGCTGGTGGATCAGGCCTTCCAAACACAGCCGAAACATGCACATTTATGTTTTGCGATCCCACACGCTCGTTGCCAGGCTGTCTTTCCGGTGCACATCCTAACACGGGATTTGATACTAATAGCTGTCATTTGGTGCAATTCGCCAGCAAGGGAAGAATGATCTGCATTATAAGAATGGCAAAGAAGAGGGGAGAGCGTAGGTGTTTCAAAGTGCCTGAGTTTGACTCCAGTGAGAGTCTGTTAGCGATGAGTGTGCCTGCGTGTGTGGGCACATTTGTTCTGCGGAAGATAAAAACAGGAAAAGATGCAGGGAGACAGAGCCGGAGAAGGAGAGATTGATCTGGTGGAAGGTGGCAGACGGGAAGAGAGAACAGGGCGGAACGGCAGACTCGAACTAAAGCGAAAAGGGGGCGATCGACGAGGAAGAGGAGGAAAGGGGAGAACGAGAGTAATGGTGTCGGCTGTTTGTGTGAGTGCATTAACAATGCTATAAAGTGGGCTCATCTCAGGACTTCCCATATAACTGCCATCTGTCTGGTTGTAAATCTGTGAGGGAGAGGGAAGCAAGAGGAGGCGGGGGGCACATCCAATAGGGACATGCCATCTGAAAGGAATGTTAACCTATTCCCAGTGCTTCCAGTGATCCACCACCAGGCTTGCTAAGGCAACATTAAGAGCGGTGACATCCAGTTCTCTTCTTACAGAAAATGTGGATGGTGCTGGCTAATCTTTAAACATGCACTGCGTCACACACACAATTGTTCTTTGAGACTACACACACACACACGCAAAAGGGTCTTGGCGCAGGACGGCGACCAATTCATCGGAATGAAACCAGACGTTTCTATGAAGCGGGCAGGGATATGATACATTCACTTTAATTTTTTTCCTGCCTGCTATCAGATGCATTACGTTTGTCCTTTCCGGGGTTATATTTTTTTCTTTTTTCTTTTTCCACGAAAAGGGATCTTTTCAAGGTCAGCGAGGTAGAGAATGGCAAGTCATCCGTATTACAGTGCAGCCATATCAAGTTACACCAAGCATTACATTAATCTGTCAAGATTGCAATAAAATAGGATTAGGCCGAGGGAAAGTGAATATTTTAATCAGGCATGTATCTGTGTCCACTGTCCATAAACTGACCCGGGAGTTTATAGAGGAGTGTGGGCGAGGAGGCAGAGGAGGGAGGGGCTAGGTGGGGAGGTTTGCGTTATGATTCCATTTTCATTTTACTGTTCCCAACCCAACCTGTGTCTCTTCCTCCCCTCGCAGGTTTGACACCACCTACCACGCCCCCACACAAAGCCAGTCAAGAGAATCCTTTCAAAGCATCTCTCAAAACCAAGTTGTCTTCATGTTCCTCCTCGGCCTTGGCATGCAAAAGAGCCAGGCTGAGTGAGTTGGGCCCCGGCGCTCTGGCCCCGGCCCCAGGTGCCTCAGGCAGGGGCCCCACCAGGAAGGGTCCTGAACAGACTGAGCTTTACGCCCAACTGAGCAAAGCAACCACCACCCTCCCTTACTCCGTCACTCAACAAGCAGTGGGGGGCGGCCTTGAGGAGTATCGCAGCACCGGCAACACTAAGCGGGCAACGCCCCGTAACTACAGCGACCATGACTATTGCCAGGCAACAGCTGGTAATAAGAAGGATGGGGGCTCAGCCACTGTTACCACAACCACAGCTGTGAAAATGACATTCACCTCAGGTGCCACTGATGCTCCAGTGCCTGCTGAAGGCAAAGTGGAGAGCAGGCATGTGGAATTTAAGGATTCAGCCATGCCACCGTCATCTTCATCATTTCCTCCATCGTCAGCTTCACCTGGTTTTTTGGCTAAACAGCAGAATTTTGGGTCTGTGGATGGAGAGGCGGGCCAGGTTCGGGGGTTAGGGGAGCACGCCCTCAGACAAACCGCTCAGATCCCCTCACAAGAGGCCACTATTGACAGGGACCAACACAATCTTTGCGCCACCAGCCGAAAGCTCCTGTGCGACCAGGAAATCCGAGCAGAACTTAACAAGCACTTTGGCTACCCTTTGCAAGCCCTCTACAGCCCGGGTAGCCAGGAGAAAGAATCAAGCAGCAAAACGAACAATGCTACAGCTCCTCAGTCCCTCGAGGGGGGAGAGAATGACTGCTACCCCCAGAGGCTGCCTGCCTCCAGCTACCTTCACCCGGGGTTTCTGGCCTTTCACGACGAACTAGAGCTGGACGAGAGCCGTGAAAGTCGATTCCTCTTTCCATGGGAGGGCACCCCTCTGGATCTACTCTTTGACTGCGCCCCCTGCTCTCCCTCTTCTTCCCCACCATCCAGCTGCTCCCCTTCACGAGGCTCTGTCTCTCCACCTTCCTCCCTGCTCCTGTCACCCAGCAGACCTTCCTGCTGGGCCGGCAGCGGGTCCCGCTCTCGTTCCCGTTCCCAGTCTGGGTCCCGCAGCTCCTCTTCACGATACCGCAGGCGCTCTCTCTCCAGCTCACCCGACAGACGCCCGTCCTCTTGGTAAGTTATCAGTCTCTTCCCCAGACTCCCCTTTCTCCCTTTTTTGTTCTTTTACTTGGCTGCTCCACCTCAAAGTTATGCAGTTTAAACAGGACTCATAGCAAGCAGGAAACCACTTCTCAGAAATGTTTACACCACCTTGTATGCCCATTTTTAAAACAACATGGTCACGCCCTTCAACTCTCCCTTTTCGCATGTGATTTTGACTCAGAATATTTAAAAAACTGCCTGTGATAGACCGTGACCTGGCCTTTTTAGGATTTCTTCACCTCCTGCTATTCTGTGATGCAATAGATTCTAACCATACTGCAGTTGTTACACGACTCAGATGATGCCTTTATGCCAGGTGACACTTAGATCTGAGCTGACAATGGGGGAAAAAGATTAGTTGAATGGTCCCCCCCTAAACTAACAGACAAAGGACAAAAGAGAAAAAAAAACAGAACATGAAAGGTGCCAGAGGCACTGGACTTTTGAACAGTGTGAGTTTTCATCTCTAGGCAGGGAGTTTTATTTGAGTGTCTTTCTAACACTCTCACCCACCCACCCCTTCTCACTCACTCCCTTGCATGCTCCCGTTTTTTGTTTGATGCTCGGGCTATTGTTTTAAGCGGCAGCTGTTGTTTTTACTGAGTGGCAAACCCTCGTCTTTTACATCCCCAGAGATGAAAGCGAGAACCAGTCTGTGGGAATATAGTCTCCAAACCCCTCTCTAAAAAAGACTCCTATCATCATAGCTTTCTGGGAGAACTACATTTCCCATGCTTCCCTTTGATCAGAGCCGAGGGGGATTCTGGTTGGGTTCTTTTGGTGAAAGAACAGAGGCAAACTGGAGTAACCGAGAGGGATGTGAATAAATTCAGTTTGTCAGGAGCGGCTCATTGACTGACTCCCAGTGTACGACTCCACCGCTGTGACTCAGTTTGTTTGCATGATTACTGAAAGGTCAGTTTACTCCGCGGAGCCAATAGAATCACTTTATTCTATTCGGGCCCTTGTTCTTCGCTCTCGCTCACAAATTATACAGTAATAGTCTCAAGGCGTTGCATCAAAATCTGACACTGACAAGCTTTCTGAAAACGCTGCATAGGGATTGGAGTTTGAACGTGACAGAGCAGTAAGCTTGTTATAGTTCCACGCAGGAGAAGATAAACAGAATTTCAGGGAAATAATTCTCTAAATCCCTCCTCACTGTTTTAAGATTTCGCAGCATAAGATCCTTCATCTTTCCAAACTGGCATTCCTTTGCTTCACTGAGCTTCCCAAACTTCTCTCCTTCCATTATTCAGGTCTTCCTTCTTCAGCAGCACTTAAATATTTAAGCATCAGAAGCTCGAGCAGTGTAGGGGAACTAGCTCTACAGTGAGGCCACTAAGGCCATAAGTATTGACCACGTCTTCATACAACATAAATAGCACGTGCACGTATGCTAGCGCAGATGCGTATAAAAATCCTGCAGCAAATCAAGCACATTTTCCGAGGGTTGTGTTAGGTCAGCACAAGGAGAGGAGACGATGCTCTTTAATGCAGACTAATGGGCCCTGTGCATATCTAAGAGGTTAATTTAGTTCTTAAAGCCAAAAGCAAATTAACCAAATGTCACACGTTTGCAACAGTATGAACGCGTTTCCTTTGTTTTTGCAAAAAAAGTGACTTTTAACTTTATTTTTCCCTTCAGGTCTCGTCACAGCACAGATTTGAATGCTTTTCGTTCCAGGAATCACAAGAGCCCCCACCCCCAGCCTCGATCTCCTCTGAGCCGCAGGCCAAGGTGATTGTTTTAAATGAATCATTTAACCTTCAATTTGTCATGTGCTTAAAACTTTTAGTTACACGCTTCGGGTCACGACAAATGTTTGGTTTTTCTGTGTGTTTTTTCTTCTTAGGATTTCTTAATGGCGTGCATGAAAGCACAGCACCACTTTTTGCTGTCACCGCTCAGAAATCCTTTGAGTTCTTTGTGAATGCCTTTCCACATCCTGTCCCAACGGGTTGGGGGATGGGGGGGATGGGGGGGTGACAAACATGCAGGGCAAATATGTTTAATTGATCGTGTTTTATTAGACGACTGACAAAAGAATCACACTGATGCGCGTTCGTGCCGCACCCGTGAGCTGACGCTCCCAGCTGTATAATGCCACTTATTCAACTTACTGCCTCTGTAGTTTTGCATGAGCCACTGCAGAGGGGACCATTTCATATGCAGAGATGTACTCGCGCTGTGCTGAAACAGAGACAGAGAGACAGACTGACACCATCCCAGTGCTCCGAGCTGATTTGGCACCCACGCGCCTAATGACACCCGACAAGCCCGAGAGTCGCTCATCAGTCGAAAACTTAACGGACATGTCTCGTACTGTTCCAGGCTGGGGGAGAAAGTTGCACTTTCCTTCTTGATGAAGCCCTAACTAAGCAGAAAGTAATGACATGTGAAGTTGTGCTGACAGTTGCAGCTGCTCGGCTCCCCGACTGCGCTGCTCGCCGGCACTCCCGCGGGCCTCACTCGCGGGCTTCGCAATCGTGGCGGTGGCGAAAAAGACATCTTATTAACGTGTCCGTCTCCTTCTCTTTGCAGCCCTCGCGGCAAATATTGGTGATTGTTCTTCATAAGCATCAACGGGAAGGGCGAATTTAGAGGATGAGGGAGTGATCTCGCATTATGTCCTCGTCTCCACAGGTATGACAGCTACGAGGAGTACCAGCACGAGAGGCTGAAGAGGGAGGAGTACCGCCGGGACTACGAGAAGCAGGAGTTCGAGAGGGCCGAGCAGCGAGAGAGACAAAGGCAGAAAGCTATTGTGAGTCAGCTGACACAACTACCATCACATTCCCTCTGTAGCTTTTTTTTTGAGGGGGAAAGGGGTGGGGGTGGGGTTTGATGCTTGACTTTGGGTCTTCCTGCAACAAAGCTGATAAAAGACCACATGTAATCACTGCTGTGGCACAACGCACAAAAACCTCCCACAGACATGCACAGATTACTTGGGATGACACAGCCCTCCAGCCCGGTGCCATGTGCCACAGTGCGTCTCTCTCCCTTTGTGTGTGCGTGCTGAAAGAATACATACAAAGTGAGTTCCTGAATGATTCAGGCGACAGGCCCTTCCTCTTTATCTCTGGGTTGTGTATTTTTAACGTCTCCCGTCTGGAAACACTGTCGACTCTTATTAATCACACCACAGGGGCAAAAATGTTAAAATAGATGAAAACTAAGAGAGCAAAAAAAAAAAAAAAGGAGAGGATCTTTAATTTTAAATAAAAAGAAGGAAATAGCCACTAATTCCATTCCAATCTCTTCTTTTTCCTGTATCTACTTTAAAGAAAAATCATGCAGATTCAGTGAACATCACGTTTCTCCACCCTTATCTCCGCTCTCCTTGTCTCAATGTGAAATTACTCTGGTTTCCAGCGGGATGGCGCTGCTACCACCCGTTGATAAAGCACACGTTAGGTGGCGCAGTAATTCGAACGATCTCGGCGATGGAGAGACGAACGATTCCCAGCGGTAAAGCTCGAGCTGTCAAAGGGACGGGCACGCCAAGGCCGCCTTGTTTATCAGCCGTCAGCAACTACGCTCTACATTTTTAGCCTCCAAACAGTGCGCAACATTAAAGAGGGGACCAAGCACAGGACAGCCGCACGTGGTTAATCTTTACTTGCTTTCCTCAGCTGCAGCTCAAATGAGCAAAGGTGAACTTTGAGTTTAGCGCCAGGCATCCGATTTCCATACGTGTCACTATTGCCCCGAAGACAGCTTTCAGAATTCCAACAGGCCTCAATGGACTTGCCCAGTAATGGCAAGTAAATCAATGAATAAATAAATAATACCAGTCATACACGATAGCCTCGGGCCTCAACTGTATTATATGATTAGCAGCTGCAATTAAAATACTCAAAAGCCAGCCTGGCGCAGTTTGTTCCTGAATTATTCCACTATGACCCTCACGTCCTCTGAGGTTCAGGGAGCAGGTTTTTTTTTTTTGCCCCGAGGCGCTCTGCTGCTGCTCTTTATGCTTCCTCTCTCTTGGATATGAATAACCTTACAATATTAACAGGCCTCTCATTTAGGGAACATCGCCAAGTTTGCTGTGTATTGTGAGTTGGACTCCCGAAAGCTGGAAAGAAAAACAGAAAGAAAGAAGCAGGCTTCTGTGATATATAGCTGAGTCACTCCCACTGCTTTATTTTTAGACTTCACAAAAAGGAAGAAGCAGCCCCAAACTTAAGACATGGCATCATTTGATAAAAATCGCTCTGCCTCTGCTTGATGAGTTGCAGAGAGAAAGAGGAATTGTAGTGCCAAGGCAGATTGAAGGCGCTTCCAAACTGCAACTCAATCAGATAAGAGGAAGCAGGCTGAACCAATCACAGAGGGAACACAACAGACAGATGGAAAAGAGGGACAAAAACAGGGGGGGCCCCCCAAAGTCGCCGGCAGTATCCACAGGAGTGATCAAGACCAATTCATTAGGTGCTCGGTGAAGAAAGGAGAAGGGGGAAAGGAAAAACAAGACTCCCCCTTTTAATCTCTTTCCCTCTGCGCTGTCTGTCCTCTTAACGAGCAGGAGGAGAGACGAGTGGTGTACGTGGGGCGACTGAGGTCCGACTGCACCCGGACGGAGCTGAAGCGCCGCTTCGAACTCTTCGGTGAAATAGAGGAATGCGCAGTGAATTTGAGGGACGATGGGTAAGGCCTCAAGATGTTCTGTCTTTGTGTGCATCTGTGTCCTATCTTGGCTTTAGTGTTGTTTTAGCACACTGTGGGGGGGGTCTACTGTAACTGCTGAACTTACAGCAGAGGCCGGTGACAAATACAGAGCTTTTGCAATCTGAGAGCGTCTCCCGATTCATCTGCATTTAGGCCCGTGGAGCCTGAAAGACGCACCTTTATTGATTGTCTTTTGCATATAAATAGAACGATGGTCATGACCGACAAGGCCCCCACCCCCACCCTCGTTGAGTCATTGTTGCCCCACAGCAACACTCTGACGTGTTTATTTTCTATTCCTGACCAGGGACAATTTTGGCTTCATCACGTACCGCTACACTTGTGACGCCTTTGCCGCCCTTGAGAATGGACACACCTTACGCAGGTCAAACGAGCCCCAGTTCGAGCTGTGCTTCGGCGGACAAAAGCAGTTCTGCAAATCACATTACACAGACTTGGGTGAGTGCAGCTTTGTTGTTCTTTCCATCAGCCCCCTGCGGTCGTGCTGTACATTTGCATGCACGCAAGACTGTCAGCGGGACGTGGGGAGGGAAGGCGAATAAGCCTTGAGTGACGCTTCCAGATCAAAACGTACCCATCTCGGCGCTGATAGCAATTCCTACAGCCCAGAATGTGTCCGGCCGGGCGTTCCCGCCTCGAGATTGCAAAGAGAGTTCAGAGGTCGGGCTGTGAACATGCCGACGAGTAGCCTCGGTATCTGAAGCAAAACGAGGCAGACTCCATTACTCATGTGCACGCGAGATGCTTGCTTTTACTTTGTTGAGCTTAAAAGCAGATCTTGTGTGTTTTCACGTATGTGTGGGAATCTCATTAATAAGACAAGTCAGGGCTAGATGAAATTAGTAGGAGCGAGATGTTGTAGAAGAATGACAAGAAAAAAAGACGAAGAAGAAGAAAGTGGGAGCAAGGTGAAATCCCACAACCTCCCCACCCCCTCCACTCCCTTTAAAGTCCATCTGCTGCCAGCTGTTGTGGTGCTGAAACGAGGTAGATCCTTGATGCGGCACTTAGGGGCCAATAATTTACATTGGGGGGAGGGGCCGCCTCAGCAGCTCTCTGCCTACCTACCAGCTACTTCTGTCTGCGCTTATCTGCTGCTGCCTTTGCTGAGAGTGTGGAGGATGTAGCTGCAGTACAGCAGAACTCATTCAACATAAGTTATTCCTCAGAGTAAACATGCTTAGCTTCTATACTGGCCCGACACGTGAATCTCAATCAGAAACCCGAACCGCAGTGACGCATTTGATAAATAATGCAAGCTTATCTGTGAAATCGAGGCTTTTTTCTTCTTCTTCTGGTGTGATGCCCCGCTTCTGACATGTGGAAAAAGGAAAGAAATGCACTTTGATAAAAGGTGGTGACAATTGAGAAGCGAAGCAGTGTTGGGACTTAAGTAGCATGTGCCCCATTATTTTAAGTACTGCACAAACACAAAAGATCATCTGCTCCACTCGGAGACAACATGAAAGATGAGTATTGACTGCTCTGGAAGCTATATGTGAGGTCAGAAATGTAAAATGCGACGCTACGAGAGGGTCAGCGGGTCATTTTAAGAGAAAAAGAGCAATTTTCCCATTAAATGAGGCGGTTACTCTACTTCTTCAAAGCACGCTCTTGAAGCCGTTAGCCTTTTAAAAGAGTGCATGGCACACAGAGAAACAGTTGCTAATCCTGAAGCCTTGAGGTTAGACATTATACTGAGATTGACTAATCAGTCTGCTGGAATGGAAAGGCCTTCATTCGACAACCTCTTTGTCAGGAATGGGCTATTTTGGTCAGCCCCCATATTGATAGCACGAGATAAGAGATTGAGAGGAAGGGAGAATCTTTTAATAGCGAGGTATCCAAACCTCTTCCCATCTTCTCGTCGTTTTTTTTTCTTTTCAGAGACACTGTCCATTAGTTTTAAGTAGAGCAGCGGGGTATTTTTCATCCCTCAAGGTGTGCAGCGTGACACAATCCAGCCCTTGGCCATTGCATTAGATCAAACCGGCGTCTCCCAGCTGCCACGGTCATTCCCATTTCTCAAAGCACTAGGTGTGTGCTGCCGAGTCCTTTGGGGGGGCCCCATTTGTGAAGCTGTCTGTTGGCACAGATAAGATGCTCTTTATGTATTATCAGGTTGATCGAGAAAAACAGGAGCTATGAGAGATGGACGGACACATCTGCTGTCTTTGTGTAAAAAATATAGAAAAGCAGTGCATTCTGTCCTTGCGCCGTGATTCCTATTGGTCTGTTGCTAAAACGCAGGAAGCATAGAAACTATCGGTTTAACTTTAGAGCCGCACGTGACCGTAAGTGCAGAATATTCCCAGAGCCCTCACCGCAAACACTTCTGAGAACACAAAGGTGAACCCTGTTGTTTTATGTGCGACTTCTAAGAAATGCAGCTCCGCCTCACGCTAAACGCACATCCTTGTTGCTCCATTTCCAGACTCCCATTCAGACGACTTCGATCCAGCCTCCACAAAAAGCAAGTACGACTCCATGGATTTTGACAGTTTGCTGAGGGAGGCCCAGCACAGCCTGAGAAGGTAACCTGTTCAGTGGCACCTGCTGTCTGTCACAAAGAGGGACTTCTGATACCTCACGGTGGTTTCTCGCTCCTTTGATGACGAGACTACCAGAAGTTTTACACTCTGTCAAAGAGTATATAAGAATAAGTCTATAGACCTATATCAATATAAATGAATATATCAAAAATAAAGTTTACATGAACATAGCTGCTGAAGAGCTGGGAAGAGACATTGCGTTCTGGGAAGCCAGTGAACCCTCAGAATCTGCACGGGTTTGGTGCACTCTACTGCTGAAAGAAGAAAAAGAACGTTATTTTTTCTTTCTTTCTTTTTTGTTTTTCTTTCTTTTTTTGTTTTTTTGTTGTTGTTGTTGTTGCTCCAAGCACTACAATACCCACAATTCTTTTGGGGTGAGGAAGTGAAAACA